TCTACAGCCGCATCTACAATCTACCGCTCTGTCTATGCTATACAGTCGCGTCTACAATCTACAGCCGCGTCTACAATCTACCGCTCTGTCTATGCTATACAGTCGCGTCTACAATCTACAGCCGCGTCTACAATCTACCGCTCTGTCTATGCTATACAGTCGCGTCTACAATCTACAGCCGCGTCTACAATCTACCGCTCTGTCTATGCTATACAGTCGCGTCTACAATCTACAGCCGCGTCTACAATCTACCGCTCTGTCTATGCTATACAGTCGCGTCTACAATCTACAGCCGCGTCTACAATCTACCGCTCTGTCTATGCTATACAGTCGCGTCTATGCTATACAGCCCCGTCTACAATCTACAGCCCCGTCTATGCTCTACAGCCCCGTCTACAATCTACAGCCGCATCTACAATCTACCGCTCTGTCTATGCTATACAGTCGCGTCTATGCTATACAGCCCTGTCTACAATCTACAGCTCCGTCTACAATCTACAGCCCCGTCTATGCTCTACAGCCCCGTCTACAATCTACAGCCGCATCTACAATCTACCGCTCTGTCTATGCTATACAGTCGCGTCTACAATCTACAGCCCCGTCTACAATCTACAGCCCCGTCTATGCTATACAGCTCCGTCTACAATCTACAGCCCCGTCTATGCTATACAGCTCCGTCTACAATCTACCGCTCTGTCTATGCTATACAGCCGCGTCTACAGTCTACAGCCCCGTCTAACCCCACTTGAACTCCAGTGGTAACTGTGTTTTTGGAGTGGTGGTGTAATTTCAGTCATTAATGATGGTGATTCAGACCGGCTCACTGTGTGGGTGATGAGCTCGGTGCACTACCTGCTCAGAGTGGTTTCCCTCTAAGCAGTTTGTGATGCTGCAGGAGATTAATGCTCAGGTGTCACAGTGAACACCTGCAGTAATGAAAGAACTTTGTCACCTGGGGTGGAGTGGCATTCAATCAAAAATTGGTTAAAAAAAAATCCTCAAATCTTTGAGTGTGGTCAGCGAACACAAACTCTTCCCTCGTTATTTACACACCAGGGTTCTCGTTTATCAGAGCGTGTGTAGAACATGTTCCGTACCTGTGTGTGAGAACCGCCAGTACGCACTAGAAAATTGGCATCTGTGCACAAAGCTGAACTCAATGTGCAATAATAAACCTGCATGTACACAGCCAGGCTCATTTACATAAAGACACGCCCCCAAATAGCTGCACAGGGTGAAGAACTTTCTTTAAAAAAAATACTCAGGAACCTTTGAAGCACTGAATCCAATTACAGTGAATTTTGAAAGTAAGAATTACATTTTTTGGCATTTGAGATTTATTTCTGTAATTATTAATAATATTTTACTTCTTTACATTGAATTTCTGGAAGTTATTTTAACATAGTTTAGATGTGCTGTGGTTTGAAGCTTGGCGAGGTCAGCCACAGTCTGCATCATCACGGTCAATCTGTAGGTGTTGCTTTTATATGATTTACTTCACCTTTTCTATGAGCCTAAATCAGCTGTCAGCTGTGCTGTTCGTTCGCTTCTGATCTATTCACTGTAAACGCTTGATTTGAAGTGTTTTTGAAATTTGGATTGACGCAAATTATTGTCTTTGTTCATATGAAGTCTAATTTGTTTTGTTTCTGTCAAAGTGTTTGACTGCTTGTTAAAACATTAAGTAGTTTTTAGACTGAACTGATAAAATAGTCGTTTCATCATTTATACTGAAATACCTCACTATAAATTTTAATTGGTTAATCCAAAATTATTCTTTTCTACCACTAGGGGGCTTCTGCATACACGTGGTCAGGAACAGTTCTAAATACACACATTCTGATTCACAAGAACAAAAAATGGTAAATCATGTTCTGTGTAAAACCGTGCATTTGTCAGGTTTAGACACAAAACTGTGCACAGTTGATGAATGAGACTCTAAAAAGGGAGACGTGGCATGGGTCCTGCTTCTGTTTTAATAAACTTCTTATTTTAAAAAGATAAAATATATTTCACTTAGCTGTGCTCTCACGGAAATAACAAGTAAAAAGTAAACATGTATGCTAGCATGGCACTGATGTGGTGGTCACTGCAGCTGCGCTCCTACATCACTGACTGAAATACTGTAAGCTCAGCGAACACGTACAGCTCCGTGATGTTGACTGGGCTCCTTGTGGCTAATCTCCAGTTCTGAGGAGGTCAGGGAGGCTGGATTTGTCCTGATTTTTACAGAAAGTGCAGCTGGTGACCCAGTTCTGCTCCCTCTGTCCCCTCATGAGAAACATTCACCCAAACTGAACAGCCGCAGGCAAAGCAAAACAGAGCCGGTCACGCTGCTCAGTTTCGGGCTGCGTTTGGTGTTTGTTTTGGTGCTTTCCGGACTGTTTTTGTTTGTTGTGTGTATGATGTAGAGGGAAAGGGCAAAGGTGAAGTCCTTGTAAGTGGGTTAGTGTGGTTTCCACAGCAACGGGGGGGACTGTGTGGAACTAAATTTGTCTCCTCTAATGAGAACAAATGAGCAGACCACAAAAACTCATCACAGACTCATTGCTTTCACTACAGACTGCTGCAAACAGAATACAGACTCACTACACACTTGTACAGATGTTCACAGATTCAGACAGAGTCCCTACAGACTCACTGCAGACTCCCACAGGCTCCTACTGATCCACTGCAGACCAACTGCAGACTCGTTACAGACTCCCACACTCTCCTACAGACTCACTACAGACTAACTGTACTCATATCAGCAGTGGTCTCCAACCCTGGTCCAGGAGATCTACCTCCCTGTAGAGTTTAGTTCCAACCTGTGTCCAGTAAGCTGCCCCACCCCTTACTTAACTCTAATACATCTGATCTAACCAATCAGGGACTTGGGACGAGGCTGATTAGGTGAAGCAGGTGAGGCAGATTGTGGTTGGAACTAGGCTCTGCAGGAAGGCAGATCTCCAGGACCAGGGTTGGAGATCACTGCACTTCAGACCCACTAGACTCTTACAGACCCACGACAGACATCCTGCAGACTCCCACAGACTGCAGCAGACTCACTACAAACACCTAGTGACTCCTACAGACCCACTATACACTTCTACAGATGTCTACAAACCCACTGCAGACTCATACGGAGTCTCTACTCACTGCAGACTCCATCGGGCTTCTGTTGATCCACTGCAGACTTACAACAGACTCTTTCACTCACACACCTGCAGACTCATTACAGACTAACCATATTTGCTACAGAACCATTAGACTCCTGCAGACTGACTACAGACCCACTACAGACTCATAATAAACTCTGACACAGACTCACTACACACTTCTAACATGAAAAATAGTTTTACAGAATCGTTACAAATGCACTACAGACACACTGCAGACTCCTATACTCACTACAGACTGCTACAGACACACTACAGACTCCTATACTCACTACAGACTGCTACAGACTCACTACAGACTCCTATACTCACTACAGACTGCTACAGACACACTACAGACTCCTATACTCACTACAGACTGCTACAGACACACTAGACTGCTACAGACACACTACAGACTCCTATACTCACTACAGACTGCTACAGACACACTACAGACTCCTATACTCACTACAGACTGCTACAGACACACTAGACTGCTACAGACACACTACAGACTCTTATACTCACTACAGACTGCTACAGACACACTACAGACTCCTATACTCACTACAGACTGCTACAGACACACTACAGACTCCTATACTCACTACAGACTGCTACAGACACACTAGACTGCTACAGACACACTACAGACTCCTATACTCACTACAGACTGCTACAGACACACTACAGACTGCTACAGACACACTACAGACTCTTATACTCACTACAGACTGCTACAGACACACTACAGACTCCTATACTCACTACAGACTGCTACAGACACACTACAGACTCCTATACTCACTACAGACTGCTACAGACACACTACAGACTGCTACAGACACACTACAGACTCCTATACTCACTACAGACTGCTACAGACACACTAGACTGCTACAGACACACTATAGACTCCTATACTCACTACAGACTGCTACAGACACACTACAGACTCCTATACTCACTACAGACTGCTACAGACACACTACAGACTCCTATACTCACTACAGACTGCTACAGACACACTAGACTGCTACAGACACACTACAGACTCCTATACTCACTACAGACTGCTACAGACACACTACAGACTCCTATACTCACTACAGACTGCTACAGACACACTACAGACTGCTACAGACACACTACAGACTCCTATACTCACTACAGACTGCTACAGACACACTACAGACTTCTATACTCACTACAGACTGCTACAAACCCACTACAGACTGCTACAGGCTCACTGTGGATGTCAGCAGTCTTCCTGCAGACAGACTCACTACAGACTCATACTGGCCCAGTTCAGGCTCCTAAAGACACATCTCACATAGAAACCTGAGCCTGCACTAGAGACTGCAATAGACTCACTACTGACTCACTGCTGACTCACTGTTTGAAAAATGGCTAAACTTTTCTTATTTTGAATATTTCTTATTTTCTTTTCTAGCAGTGATGTGTAGAGTTTGAGGGTCAGAGATGTGTTTTAAGCTGGTTAGTGTGTTGTTGTTGAGTTTGCTGAAGAGTTGAAGGAGCTCTGGAGTCTCTTGCAGCATCTTTCTGTTTTCACCACAATAGTGATGAATAGTGAAGCAGGTTTGGGGCGTATGTGTGTGTGTGTGTGTGTGTGTCTGTTGATGGAGGTCTGGGTGTGTGTTTGATGTCTAACTCTCTGGGCTCTGGTCTCCATGACGCTGCCATCTGATTTAGCACAAAAATAGAGCACAACACTTTCCTGCTTCACATCTCTCTCTCTCTCTCTCTCTCTCTCTCTCTCTCTCTCTCTCTCTCTCTCTGTTTCCGTCGCTCTCTCTCTGTTTCTCTTTTTCTCTCTCTCCTTCTCTCTCTCTTGTGCAGATTTGCGTGGAGTTCCGGGCCAGAAGGCTCTCTCGTCTCAGCGCTCTCTCCCAGGAACTCCTGTCTCCCACAAACACTTCCCCATCGACCTGCGCACATCCATGGACGGAAAGTACAAAGAGATCGCAGAGGTAAGAAAAGCACTCACTGTTTACTGTTTACTCTGTTTACAAGGGCTGACTGATGTGTTTGTCCCATCCTGTTTACCCCAGGCTGTTTACCCCGTCTTATTGACCCACCTGTTTACCTCATCCTGTTTGTCCCAGGCTATTTGCCTGAGTCTGTTTGCTCAATCCTATTTGCCCCAGACCGTTTGCTCCATCCTGTTTGCCCCAGGCCGTTTGCTCCATCCTGTTTGCCCCAGGCCGTTTGCCTGAGTCTGTTTGCTCAATCCTGTTTGCCCCAGACCGTTTGCTCCATCCTGTTTGCCCCAGGCCGTTTGCTCCATCCTGTTTGCCCCAGGCTATTTGCCTGAGTCTGTTTGCTCAATCCTATTTGCCCCAGACCGTTTGCTCCATCCTGTTTGCCCCAGGCCGTTTGCTCCATCCTGTTTGCCCCAGGCCGTTTGCCTGAGTCTGTTTGCTCAATCCTGTTTGCCCCAGACCGTTTGCTCCATCCTGTTTGCCCCAGGCCGTTTGCTCCATCCTGTTTGCCCCAGGCTATTTGCCTGAGTCTGTTTGCTCAATCCTATTTGCCCCAGACCGTTTGCTCCATCCTGTTTGCCCCAGGCCGTTTGCTCCATCCTGTTTGCCCCAGGCCGTTTGCCTGAGTCTGTTTGCTCAATCCTGTTTGCCCCAGACCGTTTGCTCCATCCTGTTTGCCCCAGGCCGTTTGCTCCATCCTGTTTGCCCCAGGCTATTTGCCTGAGTCTGTTTGCTCAATCCTATTTGCCCCAGACCGTTTGCTCCATCCTGTTTGCCCCAGGCCGTTTGCTCCATCCTGTTTGCCCCAGGCCGTTTGCCTGAGTCTGTTTGCTCAATCCTGTTTGCCCCAGACCGTTTGCTCCATCCTGTTTGCCCCAGGCCGTTTGCTCCATCCTGTTTGCCCCAGGCTATTTGCCTGAGTCTGTTTGCTCAATCCTATTTGCCCCAGACCGTTTGCTCCATCCTGTTTGCCCCAGACCGTTTGCTCCATCCTGTTTGCCCCAGGCCGTTTGCTCCATCCTGTTTGCCCCAGGCTATTTGCCTGAGTCTGTTTGCTCCATCCTGTTTGCCCCAGGCTGTTTGCCCCAGATTTTTGCCCCAGATTTTTGCCCCAGTTTCTCAGGGTCTGAAAAAGCTGAGGTCTTGATTTAGTCACTTGGTCTTGGTCAGTCTGCTGTAGCTCTGTGCGATATGTAAAAGTAATTAGCACTTTATTTTCTAGTTGAATGTTTTTAAACATTAAGTACGTATTAGCAGAGCTGTTCTGTAAAGTCATGAACCGTGTGTGCAGGAGCTGCTGGCCCGCAGTCTGGTGGACAGTGAGATGCGCAGCGCTCCATATGAGTTTCCAGAGGACAGTCCCATCGAACAGCTGGAGGAGAAACGACACCGATTGGAGAGACAGATCAGCCAGGACATCAGGTGAAACGGTGAAAGTGTGTCTGTAGGTGCTGCTGGTTACAGGGGTGGTGGAGAGTGGGGGGGTGGGGCCGCTGTCTGCTGTTTAAAGGCTGGACACTGAGCGTGATTAATGAAGAACCTGAACACGCCGAACCTTCCGCAGTCGCTCGTTATTCAGCTTTGGCTCTTGTAGGAGGCGATTATGTACGAGGTGTGTGCACTGTTTAGTTGAGGTGCTTGAAAAAAATTAGTTTGATTTTTGCCAAACTATTTCTTGAACAGGAAGGTCTGAGGAGTTCCAGTCTGTAGGTTTATAGCTGTGTATGTTTCCAGTGTCCAGCCTGTAAAGCTTACTATGGCAGAGCTTGTCCAGAGCTCACTATGGCAACCTGATCAAATCTTTCTCACAACCAACCCTGTGTGTGTGTGTTCCCTCTCCCACTATCCCTACTAATATTTTGCTTGGCTGCTTTACACTGCCCCCCCACTCCAGGCTTGAGCCAGAGATTCTGCTGAGAGCCAAACAGGACTTCCTGAAAATCGACAGTGCAACCGATCTGGAGTGAGTTCCACACGCTCTCTCTCGCTCTCTCTCTCTCTCTCTCTCTCTCTCTCTCTCTCTTCCTCTCTCTCTCTCTCTCTTCCTCTCTCTTGACCTCTCTCTGCACAGCTAGAGGTCCAGCACAGCACATTTTAGGGTTTTTTCTGTTGTTTGTAACACTGCAGCGACTACATGGAGTGATTTTATGAGCTGCTGAACTGCATTGGTACTTTGACACAGGTGTTTCTGAAGTCATCTCTCTCTCTCTCTCTCTCTCTCTCTCTCTCTCTCTCTCTCTCTCTCTCTCTCACGCCCCTTGGTCAGATATCTGAAAGAGCAAGATGAGGTAACGGTGGATTATGCTCCTAAAGACCGAGAATTCGTTGTGGAGAGAGAGTTCCAACGCGTGTCCATCTCTGGAGAGGAGATTTGTGGGGTAAGGTTCTGTTTATCATTAGAAGTGTGGGGTAATGCTGTACCCGTCATTGAAAGTGTGGGGTAATGCTGTACCCATCGTTAGAAGTGTGGGGTAATGCTGTACCCATCATTAGAAGTGTGCGGTAATGCTGTACCCTTCGTTAGAAGTGTGGGGTAATGCTGTACCCATCGTTAGAAGTGTGGGGTAATGCTGTACCCATCATTGGAAGTGTGAGGTAATGCTGTAACCTTCGTTAGAAGTGTGGGGTAATGCTGTACCCATCGTTAGAAGTGTGGGGTAATGCTGTACCCATCGTTAGAAGTGTGCGGTAATGCTGTACCCTTCGTTAGAAGTGTGGGGTAATGCTGTAACCTTCGTTAGAAGTGTGGGGTAATGCTGTACCCTTCATTGGAAGTGTGGGGTAATGCTGTACCCATCATTGGAAGTGTGAGGTGGTAATGCTGTACCCTTCATTAGAAGTGTGGGGTAATGCTGTACCCTTCATTAGAAGTGTGGGGTAATGCTGTAACTATTATTAGACGTGTGAGGTAATGCTGTAACTAT